CCTAACACATGAAAATATTATAGATAGTTTAAGAAAAGCACTTGGAATATCCTTGAAGGCCTGAAACTGGATCTAGAAACAAATCTCAGAAAAGGGTAAGTATCTTCTAGACATAAGCATGAGGCATTACCAAGGTGCAGTACACTGTACAAAAATAGCCCACACATGGGATGTTGCTGTATTAGGAAAGCATCCTCACGAAGAATAATGCACCGTTTCAAATGAGTCATTTCTGAAACTGATTTTTAGGGCAGCACACTAGATGGAAACACTTTGCTGAAGGGATGGACATCTTGTTTGTACATCAGAGCGAGCACTGTGCAGCAACTGACCCAACTAACGATGGAGAGATGGGTTTGTCAAAAACTCACCAGTTTTGGACCTTCCCATCTTTATATGCCAGGTTACTATGAATTTTGATCTTTGCATGGCTTTTCTATTTTTCTACTCATCACATCATCAAGGGAAAAAGCTTTCCACCAGAAAAACAAAGGAACAAACAAGCCAAGGCCACTGGACCTAAGACAAGGCTGCCAGGAAGAACAATTGGAGAGATGGCCGGAGGGACTCTGTACCACTCTCCGGTGGGCTGAACTTTTCCGCTGAGCAGCCAGCAATAAGAAAAGAGAGCCAACTTGTGAAATAAGTAGAGATGTATCACTTGGACAGGCTCCTTCCTCACCATAACTTGTCTTTGTCTGCTATTTGTCCCAGTTTCTGTGCATTCTCTTGAATACAAGGACAGAGGGTATGTCTTTCTAGGAACGCCTTTGTTCCAAAAGCAGCAGCAGAAGAATAGAGTACAAAACTGGAAGAGCTTGTATAGATTGTAGTGGCACAGAACCCATACAATAATAAATTTTCCAACTCCACAGAGGCAGAGCATATTCCCCTTCCCCCTTCTCTGACCTCTCCTCTACAGTTTTCATATGAAGACAATTCTTTGTTCCTGACTTCCAATGCCATTAAACTCTTCAGTAAGTAATTTCTATCCCCGTATTTTACTTTCCTTGCCACAAACAAAAGATTATTCACATTTTTAAAAAAAAAAATCGGGACAGTGTCTGTGAAAAACAAAGAAGGACTCTCGCTGAAATGGTATGCTAACTTGGACAGATATTGCACACAGTCCTGCCATGTAACCTGGCTCAAAATCAGCAATGCTCAGGCTTGAATTACTTCAGTCTACAGATCTGTTTATGTGGGCACCGGTTAGATAGGGGCAACCTCTAGTTTTATGGTCTGTGCTAACACTGAAGAGAATATAACTTCCAGAAACAAATGTTATCCATGCATCAATCCTGTCCAGTCCCAGCACAAAAAGATGCAATGAATGAGCTGATGAAAGTCCTGTTACTATGACACACTAGTTTTAAGCACTAAAGGTTAGCCTTTAATTAAAAATTCCTAATACTGATAGAGATCAGCCAGCCAGCCACCAGAAAATTTCCCATGGAAAATATGCCCGTGGAATTAAGAGTCGATATGGATCGAAAGTGCAGGACAGTGTCAAGAACACCAACAACACCTTTGATGGAAGAGTTCAGGAATTTGTAGCCAGCAAAAATGCATCTGCATAACTAATAAATACAGGAAGTGAACTTGACACTTCAGAAACAGACCAAGGCTGAGACACAGCCCTATTCTCCAATAGCTCTCTTTAGACAGGTAGATATTTCTACTGACAGAAGCTTAATCTCAGCTACTCAGATGTGTTCCTTCACATAATAAACAGAGATGAAATCTGTGTCCTGCTGATCCCCATGTCATTTCTCAAGTCATAGAGATACCACTGGTTATGGATGGATTGACTGACTGAGATGATGAAATGTATCAGTTTTATGGCACAGTACAACTCTATTAGTGATGCCTTTTCACAGGTGTATGAATCTGTACGTATGAGGTACCATCTGGTACCACAAGGCACCACTTACTACACAGATTTTTCCGTAGACAGGAATTGTATTTTTAACTATTATGGTGCGTGTATATACATATATAGAATAGAAATACAGCTCTTAACACTATATGCAATTTTATGGTAAACAGTTTGTGGCTTTTATCTTTGTGCACAATGATGAGCCACTCTCTGTTTCTATGAAACTTTATAAACAATATTAAGATTGAATTGGTAATGGGATTGCATAGCTCTGAGGTTCATTTCACTTATGTTTTCCATTTCTAGAGTGGAATTTTTTATAATTAGGAATTTTTAGATGTTGAAAAAGTGTTGCTATGAAAGAGTGAGATGTCTGAGTATTAGTAAGACATTACTACGTATTCAAGAAAACAGGTTTTTTTAACTATAGACAATGTTGTAACTGCAGAGAAGGGATGGGAAAGGGGGAGAAGAAGAAGGGTGATAAGAACTAATTATTATAACCTAACAAAGCAGCAGACACTGCCGCCCAAACCACTTCTGCTTGGGTTAATGCACTGAACTGGACCAGCCCTTCAAACAGTTTCTTCACACAGCCTTCAACATAGTCACCTTAAAATGCTTCTTAGGTATGAATATGCTCAAATACATGCCCAGATTACTAATGGAAATATGATTGCTATTATTACAGCCAGATTTCATGACTTTTCATTCCTTTTCTGTGTGTGGATTTTGCAGGCTGATGTTGACAGTTGAGCAAGCTGTTACAGCTGGCCATAACACATCTGTCAGAAACTTTTGAAAATAGGACTTTTCAGTTGAAGTAGGGAATCTTTTTACTTTTTATCATTTTCCACGTTTTGTGGCTTTTTTTTCTGTGATAAATGCATCTTTAGGTAAACTGCTGTGAAAAAAACTGGTCAGAGTATTCACAGGTACAGTAACATTTGAGCTCAGATCCTTAGGAGCTGCACCAGGCACTGCGGGGGAAGCCCACGGAGAAGAGGGATTCATCAGCAGTGCTGCAGCAGCAAAAGGACCCACCTCTCACTGACAGATTTCACTCTGCCAAGGGCGATGAACCTTTTGTGAGTTTTGTCGCACAAGGTTAGGCTCCAGCACAGCCACACTTGCATTCAGAAAAATTATCACTGAATGCGCACAGCTTCTGTCAAAATGTGCAGGAAAAGATGGGAATAAATGTTTATTTCAGTAAAAAACAATAGCCAGGGATGACGACTTTTCTAAAACTGTATTCCCAGAGGTCCTACCCTTTCACTAAGGGGACCTCTATCATATTCTCTAAAATCTGCCATGTCAACATCGTAACTACTACTAAGGGAGATGCTAGCATTCATATTATGATGGGCAATGCATCAGAATTAATTAGTATGAAAGCTGGTGAGGATAAAATTGTGGCTAAAACATCAGAAGGAATTAGATTGAAAGGTGGTGAAAAGCCCAACAGCCATAAACTTTCTCTGTGACCGAGCTAAAGCAACACTTGGATAAATGGAGACTGACACAGCAAACAATTCCTTTACAAAAGACTTTAAAAAATGCCTTCTACAATATTTCAAGTTGAAAAAAAAAAGTCTAAGACACTTGCATACAATTCATTTCAGCAAACTCTATTATGTCCAAAAATCTCAAACAAAAGCCCTCTTCAAATATTTCAGTAAGTATACATTTCTACAGAGCAACATGAGCTTGAATTGCCTTTTAGTTATGGCACAGAAGAGACTTCCTGAATACATAGGGCCGTTTGTTGTCAACTGCTTCACAATGTACGTTCATGAAAAATGTTACAGGTTAGGCACTTTCAGTATGTGGAGTGTCACCTGGAAGAAATGTCATCAGAGCTGGCACTGATGTGGTGTGGGGAAAAAATCAATGTATGTATGGCTTGGCAGCATTTGCAAGTGTTCAGTTTGTAACCTCAAAACTCAAGAGAGCACAGTCTGAACAAACACAGCACGAGTCATCAGAGCCTTTCCTCTGCTCTACACACACATAATAGCACACTGTTCCTTTCAAAACATCATGGTACAGTACAGTATCAAGCAGATAGTAACTCTCATAATGCTCCTTTACCACACAATTTAGGGAATAAATAAATAGCAGTGCCATCTGCCCCGCCCCACCCCACAAAGGACCCACTTATTAAGCCCAGCAGTAGTGGACAAATCTTGATCTGCTGTGGTAATACAGCACTCACACCCCGAAGGATGAGCTCTGCCGTCATCTGTTGATGAACAGCAGTGCCAAATGGTTTGCCATGCCTTGATATGGAAAACAAAGTAATAATGAAACATTTTGCACAGACACAACCAGAGAAGCAAACATGATGCTCTTCAGCTGCAAATGCTGCATACAGTAGTAAGTACCTGATGGCAAAGTGTGGCCTTGCCTTTCCCTTAGCATTTAAACATACAGTTGAGAGAAAGTTGACATACCAGACAAGGATGAAAAGGTCAGATTTCTTCCCAAGAAACTACTTTTATAATTATCAATGCAGCAATTTTGAGCCTTTGCGTTGATGCATATAATTTCACATTATTAAAAATACTCAGATAACAGGTTCTGCTGCACAAGTTTGGTGTATTTAAGGAATGACAAATTACTTAATTTTTTTTAAAAAACATACAAGTCCGAAAGGCATTGTGAGATTTTTTTGAACAAGCACTTTAACCAAAACATTTTCATCACAAATTATACTTCGGTAGAATGGTAAAGAATCATTCAAGTAAGTTTCTCTGTCATTTTAGAACAAGATTTGTCAAAGTCAGAACTTCTGTTTTGTGGAAGAGTGCCTTTTGATTAAATTTCCTAATGATTGGGGTGACATTGCTCTGGGAAAGGTACCTTATCACAGAAAACAGCCGATCCCCACAACTAGCCTGGGATGTAAGGGACACGAGTTAAAACGTCCACTGTTTCAACCTAACAGGGATTCAAATGTAATTCAAGGAGTAAAGGAAGAAAAGATGTTACTCTTGCTTGCAAATGATGTTCCTTAATCTGAGGGGATTAGCTCTAAGTGTATGCAGAGTCATGCACAGGGAAATCAGTGCCTTACACTTTTGTTTATGCAAGGAAGTGTTTGCATTACTTTACTCACCATTCCATGATTTAGCCACGCTGGTATAAAATTATCAAGCAGCTTTGGGTAAACCAGTTCCCTGTCATAGATATAGATGCTCCAAAACATCGTCACAACAAACTAAGAAGAAAAAAAAAAAAAACAAAACATTTAAAAATATATGCTTCTGAACAATTAACTACACATTTTAGATAGCAAAATGGGGCATTTAGCAAATGATCTATGGACAGACACAGACATCATTGTTCTTTGACCAAATCCAACAGTGCAAATCTGGATTATTCTTTGCATTCACAGGAGCTTTAACTTTTCTTCTTCCTTTTTCTTTTTTTTTATTTTTTTTTTTTTTGACTTTCAGCCTGCAAAAAATCTCATTTTTTGACTTACATGCCTGTGGCCAAATTACAACTGAGTACTATACTTCAGTAGCAGATGTGACACATAAATAATGTTTCACCACTAAAAGGATAGAAAACAAATGGAAACTCAGGTAAAATATCACTTGGAATTCATAGAGCATATAAATATGAAACATTCACCCCTGAACAGATGGCTATAAACTCATCTTTGCACTTTTTCATGTCAGCCATCCATCAAAATAGCATTGTTTAAAAAAAAAAAACAACCAAAAAAACCCCCTTTAACTGCTCTGCACACAATTCATGGACTGGGCTCCACAGAAAAGAGGTCTAGTACCTGGCTTGTTTGTCAATATGAAATTTAGCTTGGTTCTTGTCAGAGACTATTTACCAGGAGCCCAGAGAAAGGCCATTATTTCCTCTAGATTGAAGACAGGACAGATGGCTCAGATAAAGTTTGCACTGAGCTAAATTTTTGCCAAAGTGTGCACAAATTCTTTAAAGATACCCTGATGTCTGAAAAGCAAAGACAATATAAAACCACAAAAATTTACAGAAATAATAGTTTTATCTTACCTTAGCTGGGGAAAGAACAAAGTAAGCCATCTTCTAATTAAAACACAATTGCTTTCTTACGTTGAATTTGAGTCATAGTTTTCTAGTAAGAAAAGGCTTATTGTTTACAGCAGTAAAACCCAATACCTGGGCCAGGAGCTTTTCAATGACCATTTTCAGGGGATCTCTACACAGTAGCGACAAGTCCAGGTTTAAAGTTTGAGAGGCAATAGATAGGACTTCCACCGAGATCAGCAGGGAAGTATTCAGTTACATCCAAACCGATGTGGCCCATGATCTTATGGCTAATTTGAGGGGTCAGTAAAAGAAAGTGCAAGAAATATGGGGTGAGCACAGCAAGGTCAACAAATTACTAGTGTGTATGATAGTGCAGGCATAAGTTGTTTCATATGCTTCTGACTTTGGAAAGTCAAAACTGAGGTTGCAGTTTATCAATGGCACCTTGTTCTAACCACAGAGACGCAGGCTTCAGCCAGCCAGTTATGTGAATGACCTGAACCAGTACATTGTTCCCTCAGTGTGCATACAGTACATAGTTTCTTGGCTTCCAACACACTTGTCCATCTGTTATGATAGCTATCGGTGCCTGCTCAGAATAAGCCTGGACTATTTGACTAGTGCACAGAGGCCAGGAAAAAAAATAGGTTATGACGGACAGCCTGAAAAATATTGCAAGTGTAAAGTACCCCACAAGAAGTCTCTCTCCTGGGCCAGTCTTGGCATTGGCACAGCCCAGCTCTTTACGCACCTGCTGACACATAAGTGCCAAGATATGAATAGCTCAACAGCAGGGAAAATGGAAGCAAAGTATCCTCTTCTCTATAGGCTTCCTAGAAGTCATGTATTATCACAGTGGGTCTCTGAGAACCTGCTAAGACCAACTGGGACATAAAAACATATTCTTAGGCGCAAGAAGACGAAGACTGATAATGCTTTTTTAGAAAGAAGTCTTACAGAAAGAAAAATCACCCAGGATTAGGTTGAACCTTATTACACTGAATACAACAAAGCTGGCATGTTTTGACCTGTGATTTTTGTGTGGAGCAGAATAAAACAATAGCCTTTGCCAAGGAGGTAAAGATAAGAAAAAAGGGGATGTGCCATCTGTCCCTTAACCAAAGTCAGCCAACGGATGGAATGGGATCAGCCTAGCTGGTTGCAACCATCTGGAGCTACAGACGGCAAATGCTGCTTAGCGAAGCACTGTCACAAGGCAGACATAAGGTAAAGGAAGTGCGCAAACCCCAAGGTGTTACAGAACTAACCTATCCCGGAGAATGACCCAACATGAGACTAACCTAATGCCCTGGGAAAGATCCCTTCCAATGTCTGAATGGTTCGCCTTACCTTTCCTAACAACTAGTTCATTTGGATAAAATTAACTATAAAAATGAACTATTGCACTATGAACTAATACGAACTATAAAAATTAACCATAAAAATTAACTACTGGGATAAAAAGATCTGTAACGAGGACCTGCTACTTAGCTACCTTGGCTGCTTCAGAATTTGTTTACTATGATTAGAGCAACTGTTGGTCTGGTACTTTTAAGTCACCTCTACTACGCTTACACTTTAGTACTGGTAGACTATTATTTGGGCTGAGCTTTCCAAGATCACACATGGTCATGAAGTGCCAGACCACGATACAACTGAGCTGCTTCTCTACACCGCCTATGTAAGGCTCAATCAGAATTGCAGCTCTTATGCTCACACTGCCTTCCTTGCGGCAGAATTCATCGCTGTTGTGGAGACAGTCATGCTACCACCCTCACATGCCAGGCTGAACAAGCTGCTCGTATGCAGCAGGTATTTTTCAGGGAGCCCAGTACTTTTATTTTCTTTTGTTCCCAAGGCAAAATGGCACAAATGTCACCCTTCCACCTCCTCTTTAGACAAACTCAAGGACTGGAGTTCAAGGAAGAAAACAGGCACCAGCAATTGCCTTTACACTTCTTTGCACAGGAGCTTCCAAAGATTGCCAAATTTCTGAAGACAGCAATTACTTGGTTAAACATAAGGTTAAGCAACATACAAAAGAACAGAAGAGTCCCTCATTTGCAACTTCTGCTATCTAGGGTCATTACAGACCAAAGGGAACCTCAAATTTGCAAGGAGACCTTGGAAACTGTTTGAAAATATGGAGTAGCTCACTTGTCGCAGGCATCTAAAGTATTGCTAAATAAATACACAGCAGCAGGAAGAAAATAAGGCTGAAAACTACACTCTGTTTTCCTACTTAAAGAGATATTCCCTGAGTTTTTGTCCTCCATCTCTGAAGCTTCAGAGGACATGAGAAGAGCATGTGGCACTGCCAAGGGAAAAATTTTAAAGGACAATTTGGGAAACAGTTGGTGATTCAAAAGGGAAAACAAGTGGCTTTATCAAAACACCACAAATGGAAGCAAAGAGAAACTACGAGAGGAAATCCAGTGAAAAGAACTGCGTAATTTGCTGTTTTATATGAGCCCAACCAAGAAATGTTATGCAAACGAAGAATAAACCCAGTGGAACTTTATTTTCCTGAACTATGTGTTTTATTTTTGGCTGTGCTGCACAGTTCAGTTCACTCATTTCCTGGATGGCTTCACAACAAAGAAAAAAAAAACCCAACCCTTTGACCTTGACAAAATTTCTTCTAAGTACAGTTAAAGGTAAGCTTTCTGGCTATCTCCCAAGACATTTGCGGTTAACTGCGAATATAAATATATTGTTTGTGAGCCTCTTTGAGGGTTAAAGGCATTACATATAGAAGTAAAGTGTTATTGAAGGCAGACCACACTAAGCACAAATTGGCATGGGTTTAGGAGGGATCTAGTGCTAGCACAGCATCACACCAAATAAATTTGAAAAAGGCCAATAAAGGAAATCACAAGGAGTGGGAACTGAAAATCAGGGAAGACTCCCCTCGGAGAACAGAGTTCAGGCAGCAATTGCACCACTGCTCACTCAGGTTCCCATCACCAGCCACCACCAGGTGAGGGCAAAATGTAGAATAGAGGGATTTTGGCATGCTCGAGACAGTTATGGAAATAAAAGTATTTTGAGGTCTGGTCAAGTAATGAGGTAAGTAGGAGACTGCAGCGAATGCCTACACATCTTTTCTTGGGGTAAGAACCCAGGACAGCATTACTGATGATCTACAGAAGAACAATGATCAGCTTTGCTTTTGACTGTACCAGTATAGAGAAATAAGAGAAAAGAAAGCATGCCTGGCTTTCTCTCTTTCGTATCACAGGTTTTTAAAAACACAGAAGTATAATATAAAGAATAGGAGATCATTCTAGCCAGTTTAGACTCTGACCCGAATGGAGCTATGAATGCTACATGATATAAAACATAAATGGTAGAGTATGTGGTTTTCTAGGCAGCAATCTCTTGTCTAATATGTAACAATATCAATTTTCTTTCTTCTTCCTATTTCAATTAAACACAGTCTTAAACAACTAGAAATGCCTGTTTTACCTCTTCATCCTCTTGTTTGGTACAAATTACAAGAAACATATTGATAAAACCATATACAGTTTACACAAAACACTAATTAACCACAGAAACTCGTCAACTTCACGATATATGTCAAACAAATCGAAAAAAGTAGAGATAGTCTAAACCACTGACTTTTTAAGAGTGTCTCACACTTCTCCAGCAGTGTAAATTATTTCCAATATAAATCTCCTTTACACTGATAAAGGGGGGGGTGGTGGTAAGTGCAGCCAGTAGAGATGATAATTGGTAATGAACTTCTAAAATGTCTATGCAGGCATTTTTCTTCAGTGGATGCTTCCTGCTCTCTCAGGCATTTGCATAGTACCCCATGTTCATAATAAACTAAAAAAGGGCTAGGAAGTGTTGCCCACAGACTTTTTGTGGAATAAGACATAGAAAATTGGTCTGTTGATTTCTGATTTCGTTCTCTTAAAGAGTCATATTAAAAAGAGCAACAATAGGTAAACAGTAGTCATGTCCTTCAAAGAGGTTCATGTTTATTTCTTGATACTCCTAAACAAAATGGTAGGTTGGCAATTCAGTTTTATCTGAGCACCCAGAGATACACAATGCATAACCCAACACTGGAGAGATGTGTTTTGCTGCAAAGATTTTGCAAGATTTGATTTGTTGCGAAGCCACCCAAGGAGATTGTTTGCCCTTGGGCTGGTTCTTTCCCCTCCTTTGGAAGGTGGGAGGAGGTTGGTGGTCAGACTTCCCAGGTGGTTTGTATGTAATACTTTTTTAGGAAGTACTAAAAATGAAATGCTTTATTTTGTTACTTTTTTTTTTCACACATCATTGTTTGACTTGGGAGTGGAAACCCCTCTTCTCATCTGTTTTTCAGAGCAAGTCATCTCAAGGGCTTCAGTAAGCAGGAAATACAGAAAAAATTATGTTGAATTGCTTTTGAAAAACTACAGTTAGTGGGCTTTAAAATGTTCTCCCAGTATTTGCATTATTCCCTAAACATGCCCTGTGTAAAACACTGAGTAATAAAAAGAATTTAGATGTTAAGGTAACTGACAAGTACTTAAGCATGACCACTGCTGTTACATTAAAAACCCAACAAGGATTTTATTCACATCCGTCCAATTTTTATGTGTGAAGGTTCCCTTGTGTTGCTACTGGAAACCACTGAGCAGCTCCATGGAGAGCTAGGTGGGAGAGTCTCAAAGAAAGAAAGTCTGCATTTGAATTTCTTTTGTTCCTTTTTTTTTTTTTCTGGAGTGAGGAAGCTGTTGAGAGAATATGGGAAATGAGGGAACTTTAACTTTTTTTCTGCAGACACTCTGGTGTTTTTAATAACTTCCTTCTAACAAGCACCTCCGGCATACCAAAATTTCACTGGGTATTTTCTTACACATAAATAGCTTTTTAGAGAACAAAGCCAGCGTTAGACATTTGCCACTCAGGCCCTGAACTTCTCCTACCCGTAATCCCACTGAAGAAGAACCCCCGGTGGCTGGCAGTCCCTCAGGCACTGGCCAAGGCTTGGGCAAGTGGTAGCTGCAGTGTGGTGGGCGCTGCTGGAGAGGATCAGCTTTCAGGAAGGAGCTGACACCAATGTTAAGTTATGAAGCACTGCTGTTTGTTGCCACTAGCCAGGAGAGGAAACAACAATGAAAACAACCTTTTTAGGCTTTCTTTGTAAGAAGTGAAATAATGTGTGGTAATCAATTGCTCCCCCTTGCCACAGAAAGGTCACCTTTGGAAATGGAGAGCATCTGTCCAATGAGCTTTTTGGCCATTTCTTACTCTTTTCTGGGTTGGTGGTTTTTTTCGTTTGAGACAGAAGTTGTTTCTGTATGAAACCCTTGGGAAAGTAGCTAGCTCCAGGTATGCAACACAACCCCCAGGAACTGCTAACTTGTAAATGTTGCAACAGTACTTCTAGTGCAGGCAATGGCTAGCTGGGATTCTTTGCTTACTGGTGGCAAAAGAAACAACGCCTGAAAGAAATGTGTAGAATTATGAATACAAAGTGAAGCTGAAATTCTCCAAGATCTTTAAAAGTTTCAAGGTCAGGAACACTGCAGGGGTGGAGGAGCACACAGACAACAGCACGGAGCTAAAAACAGTGGCAGGAGAGAATCCCTGAATCCTGAGCAGCGTGAGAGAGCTAAGGAAGTTGTGCTTTGATGCATGTAAAGGCTTACACTTCTAGATTGAAAAAGGCACTTAAAATCTTTAAATAAAGACAAATAATGTGACGTTGCTCTCCTTCATTACTACTGTCAACGCAGTAGGAAAAGCATCTGTTGCCAATCACAATCACAATTACTTCTAATTCCTGATCTCCCTTAAAATACAAATATAACACATAAATCTCTGCACCCATAAAATACGTATTTGCAAGCCTGTTTATGCACAGAGTTTTAAAAACTGTATTAGTTGATCCAGTTTCTTTGACCATGGCTGGAAAACTGCAGTCTGTTAGCTCAAAAGAATTGTGGCAGCTCCCAAGAGGCAGGCCAGCAAGTACAGTAAGGGAAGGCTACCAGCTGGGTTTTTATGAAAGAAATACCTGCACAGTGTTTCACATATGCTTTGCATTTTCTAACTTTGCAAAAACATTCTGTATTTCTTCACATATTATGAAATCTCACATAAACGGTGACATTACATTTTAATGAAGCATCTCTGAATATATCAAATTATAAATGATTGATTGGTATGTTAACTGCTGTTAATTGACAGGAATTGATCAGCTTTTGTGAAACATTACAACTTTAGAGACCTCATAGAGTTTTCCAGTAGTCCTACCATGGAAAAAATTTGCTTCTAGTGAATTTATTTTGAACTACTGTACACTGAAATAAAAACCCAGAATTAAAGGTTGATCCTGAATTACAATAAAAGCAATACTTTAATGAAAGGTTCACACATACTTTTTAATGTAACCTAAACTTACAACTAGACTGACACAGACCACACTTCCATGTAAAAAAACATGAAATTCTGGATTTTCAGCTGCTTTCAGTGTGTGGTATGAGACATGTAAAGACACTCAGCACCTTTTGCCATTGAAAGTGATGTGCAATGTCCCAGTGGAGCAGGACCTGATCCAAAAAACAGTTTTCTTTTGTAAAAGACACGTAAACTCCACATTTTTCCATACCTTCTGTGTGCTTTTTTACATTACTGACAACCCTCTTTTTCCATACCCTTTTTCTTCTGTCAGCTCTGGTTGCCCTACAGGGTTAACAGGGAGTAACCTGGACTTGTGCTTCCCTTCTTGCCCTTGACAAAATGACTTACAGCCCAGACTCCTGTCAGGTTGTTACAGTGTGAAACATACCACAATTGGCACTTTCACTACTCCTGACGATGACACACAGTGCAGAAAAAGTCCAAACTGACTCTCAAGATGCTGCTGGTACAATTCATATTTGAAATGACTTGTACAATCAAGTTCCTATTGTGAAGTACATTTTTTTTAGTGAACCAAAAATAATTTCAGCAACATCAGTGCTCCCTTTCACCTGTGAAAAACAAGAGAGTAATATAATCACCTCTACCATCTTCCCCCTTCCGAATAGCCTTTTGTGTAGAGGTGGGAAAGCCTTTCAGCCAGAAAACAATCAGTAAATAACACTGCTCACCCAGTTTGTAAAGACATGCACAGATTAACACCGTACTTACCACTCCAACAGGGAAAGCTAGAACAGCCATCACCCAGTCACGGAGGGAAATGAGTTTTTTAAGCTGCCTCTCTTGCTCTTGACTGTCATTTCCTTTAGTGAGAAGACTGGACAGGTCGGTCAAGACGCAGATCCCAAAGAAGACAGCCTGGATAACCTGCATGGAAGGGAAACACACTCTTGAACAGAAAGAATTGACATGGGGAGCAGGAAAACATCAGTCCCTTAAATACGGGTAGTTGGTTCTCACCAAAGTCACTTGTGCTTCTAGACTGAAAGTCCTGCATGCATCTTGCTCCTCATGTATGAGGGGAATCAATGCAAGTGGAAGGACTCCAGAGGTGAGACTTCCCACCCTCACCTCAGACATGTGCCACTCGCTGGGGACTGAACTGCAGCCACCCCTTCCTGCTTCACTCCATACAACTCGGCCCCAAAGCCATAGCATTTGCCTCTGAGGCAGAAAAAGTTATAAACTCTCCCTGCAAAAAGTAAGGAAAGAAAAAAGGTGAGTGGTCCTTTCCCTTGCGCCAGGAGGTCTCCCTTGGAGACCCTGCCTGCCCCAGACACTCTGCCCAGATGCGAAAAAGGTGCCTAAGACTGCCACTTACCTGCCTTTTCCTTTTTTGCATTCATGTATTTGTGTGCAACATCATAAGATTATCTGTTGTACTAAATCGGTAGTTTAATCACCTGAACCCACTGATTTGGTTCAAACTTGACTTGATCTTAGTTTGATCACTACATTTTTCTTCCTTAATTAGCTTAGTAAAATTGTAGTAAGTTAGCTCAGGAATGCTCTTGCCTGAGGACCTGCACATCCTTTCTAGTACAGTTCAGAGGAAGTGCACGCAGCTTGTTTACTCCCCGAGCTGGAAGCCCGGGTCACAAACCCACGCGCATCAGGTAATCCCAGGTAAAAAATTAACAAAACACGGGCTTGTTTCCCAAACTGCACATTAATTCATCAAAAAACATAAACATATGCTTAAAATACATACTACATGTTTCTCAAAGCAAGCATGGAGTACCAGTTTAGAAGTCTTATTTGTAAATCTAAGTGTTCCTCTGACAAGGAGTTCCTGACTAAGCAGCAGACCATCCATAAGAAAGAATAGCACATTCCCAGATTTTGCAAAATACAATTTATTACGCGCATACATCTCTGCAGAATTCAGACTATGATAAGTAATGTAAAAAACCACCTTAGGCTAGGGGATGCTGATCTGGAATATGGTAGGGAAGGGAGGGAGGCAGGCAGGCAGGCAGGCAGGAAATACCAAACAGGTGTTGGCTACTAGAAAGAAATCCAGAGATATGTAATGGTTGGATGGATAAAAGTACGTTCCCTTCCTCAACAATCCTTATACGACCCAAATACTTGTAAATTCTGGCCTGTAAAGCTGTGCACGACAGACATTCAAATGGCCCCTGGATCTGCTTGCAATTCTGCTGCCATTGCTCTTCCCTCTCCAGGCTGTAGCTACATATAATTTGCTTGATAAATAGATGAAGCAACATTACAAAACATTCCCTGAAGCCATGAAATGTGACAGACTACTAGTGCTAGAGCTCTATATTGTGCTAGAAAAAGATATTACTACTTCAAATGACTGCCTGGAAAAGTTACCATCTTCTACATAATTTCCGAAAAAACATTTTATATAAAAGTTGGGGCTCCTCGGAGCTATGTAATTACATGAACTCCTAACGCACTTTTTCATATTATTTCTCTGAAACAAGCACTTAGTAGAAAAAAAAATCTTCCCATACTCAGCCCCTGTTTTCCACCAAACAGATGGCCTATTTGGAGAGAAGGAATAGAAGAACTAATTATGCATTTGCTTGACTTAAGAGGAGATATGATACCATCTACTATTCACTCAAGAGTGTGAATGCCAAAGAAGGAAAAAGATTTAAGACAGGGCTGGAAAAAAAAGTATACCTAACAGTAATGAGATCAATCTGGGTGTTAAAAAGTTTAGGCTGAGTACCAGGAAATATTTCCTAACAGCGAGCTCTGTCAGACCATGAAATAGTTTCTCAGAGGAAGTGGTGGAAGCCTCATGGCTTGAGTCACTCCAACCGATATTGGACAAAACACTCAATAATGTCCTGCAGGGAACAGTATGACGCTGGCAGGGCTTGGGCGAGTGACTAATGGATTGTTTGCAGCTCTAGCTACGATTCCCTGAAATGGTCCCTCTCCAAAGAAACACAGACTCAAACAATCACACGCCCACTTTCCAAGGGAATTGAGATTGTACATCCACTAATCAATCACAAACCCAACAGCTCCTCTCCCCATTATCCTGTTATGAACACATCACTTCAAGGGAAAATATAATGATATCATCGGGAATAACTGAAAACTCCTAAAGGGAAAGAAAGTACCCAAAGATTTCAGAGACTAGTTATGAAGTAAACTACTGTACAAAGAGACTAACAAAAATCCATATAGGAAAGAGAAAATTTCATATTTATCAAGAACATTGAGAGCCAATGAAAAAAATTGTATAGTGTTCAGTGAGGAACAGTTCCAGCTATATTCATACAAATAATGTACATACATCGCTCTAATACTTCCTTTCCTTTCTAGAATGTGCAAGAAAACTCTTGTGACACCTATCAACATTTAGGATTAGACTGAGGACCTCTAGAGCTGCATGAGTCTCAGCAGCATAAACTGAACTTCCAGTCAGTAACAATTTACGCCCTTTGTGGGTCTGGCATAGGAAAAGCATAGCATGCAGCTACCGGTGGTTTATGGTAGGAAACAAGTTTTTAAAAGTCCATGCTCCTCAGTGTGAATGCTGCCTAACAGATGTGAAAAGTTCACAGCAACGGAATAGAAATTCCCACTAAAGAATATTCTTCAAAGTACCCTGGTGTCACCTCAGATTTAGGATCACATTTTCAAAACAAGGACCTTATTTTGAAAATCTGCAGGTGGTGAATCTATACATGAAACATCCCCGAGATGTTAAACAAACAGCTGACGACTTTTTTTTTTCCCCCCCTTGGAAATGTAAGCAATAACAGCACTTCAGAGGAAGTATCTTCCAATTTTGCCTCCAACTAGAGTTTGAAGGAAAACAGCGATTTAGAAAACGACAAATACAAATTTGACAGAAAACAGCCATACCTCACTTATACCATGTTAACAGTGATAGAGGCAGAAACTCGTAAGCAGAATATGCAAAACCAAGAAAATCATTAAAACGGATATAAAATACTATCTTACTGCTGACCCCATCTTCTCCACTGAAGCCTAGAGGGGCCACTGCTACTATAGTTAATACTACAGTACCCTTAAGCTGTGATAACGTAATGACAAGCCATGGAAATGGCCGTCTACAGGTATTTTAGTAATACAAAACTCTTGAGCAGAGAAAGTGCTCGTGTGCTGGTTTTGGCTGGCATAGAGTTAATTTTCTTCATATTAGCTAGCATGGGGCTATGTTCTGGATTTGTGCGTTGATAACCCAGGGACGTTGTCGTTATTGCTGAGCAGCGCTTATGCAGAGCCAAGGCCTTTTCTGCTGCTCACCTCACCCCACCAGCGAGGAGGCTGGGCGGACACAAGAAGCTGGGAGGGGGCAGAGCTGGGACAGCTGACCCCAACTGACCACAGGGGTATCCCACCCCATATGACAACCTGCTCAGCATATAAACTAGGGGGGAGGTTGGCGGGAGGGTCGCTGCTTGGGGACTGGCTGGGCACTGGTCAGTTGGTGGTGAGTGATTGCTTTAATTTGCATTACTTGTCTGTCTTGTTTTTTATTTCTCTCTGTTATTTTCCTCTTCATTACAATATTATTATCATAATTATCATAATTATGATAATAATTATAATTATATTTCAATTATTAAACTGTCCTTATCTCAACCCATGAGTT